CATAATAGTCAGGGTTAGACTGTTTTATGTAGTGTAGCAAGATGACAATGACCTGTTTGATTTAAACGAGTATTGAGGTTAGAGATCTTCATTATGATTAACAGGTCCTACGGATGGCCCTCTAGACTGATCTGTATCTAAATTTAAAATTTATTTTGTTTAGTTTTTGTCGACTGAATTAATTTTAACCGAATTCGTGTGAGGAAGACAACTTAGTGCACTTTTGTCATGTTCAAAATCACTCCAAATCAAGCATTTAATCATTCAAAATCAATTTAATGTTTGATTTACACTTCCAATCACCATTTTCATATCATTTGAATTGATTTTAAGTTATTTCGGATTGATTTTGGATATAACAAAAGGTAATATTAACTATTTCTAAATCTCATTTAAAATTCAAGAACTTAGGCTTAAAAATTGGGGTTTAGTGTTATAATTTGACCAAAGTAATGCTACAGGAGTAAAGAACAAACTCTAAATATTCTTGGTGCTGTAAAAGGACTCCAAAAAATTCATTTGCGCTTGGTTCATTGTCTCAAACAACCCACTGTAGCACACGCACTGAACCACATCCCGATTTCCAGAAACAATAGCACACTTGCAAACTCTCAATCACCATTAATACCTAATAATTCACACAATTTACCACACAGAACTTGCAATAACCAAACACGATCAACTCTCAGTCTATCTTATAATGAAAACAAAGTTTATTATTCCATTGCTAAACCTTCAAGCAAGCCAAAGAAGTAACCACCAAACAAAGAATCAAACAGTAAATAAGGAAGGCAGTCACGTATGACGAAAAACAACAACTGAAGGTATGAATTCACTCACAGAGAAGTAGAAGGGAAAACAAGCAACAAAGGGTAAAAGAGTAGGCACAGAACCTGAAGCAGAAGTGATAATAGAGTGAAGGAGAGAGACGGCGGTGTTGACTACAAGAGGTTCCTTAGAAATAAGAAATCGAATGGCCGAATTGGCGGATTGGTAGAACAGAGCTCCGAATACGAGGTAGAGCAGCTCGAAGCGCCTGTCGAACAGAATTTCGAACCAAAGAGAGACCGTCCAAAGCACTAATGTCGCGGAGAAGAAGCTTCCTGCCCTGCTCTTCTCCTTCAACACCGTCCGCCCCGCCATTAATTCGCTATGGAGCTCAATCGCTTGTTCTGTATCTTCTGGTGAAAACGAGAATTGACATAAACAGGAAGACCGGGTACCGGTCCCCACGGTTAAACGGTGACCCGATTCCGAAGGTTGGGCTATTTGTTCGGCCCATTTAGTTTCTGTCCACTTTTCAAAGATTTAGAGAGTTTAATTAATACAATTAAAATTTAGGAGCATAAATAAATTTCTTCTCTTACCTTTTTTTCTTTTGTTATTTATTTTTATATTTAATTATTATTTTTAAACTAATTATAACAAAAAAGAAAAACAAAATAGTTTTAAGATGAGCTGGACGATATCTAGATCGGCACAGATGGACGGACCAGATTTGACGGTGACCAAACTTACGTACTCGACAGGTGCACCAACCGAAAGAAACCCACGAAGTTGGAATTGGAAATAGATTAGAGAAATTGAGAAAGAGATAGGATATCTTTGCAATCCGAGCTGGCAGGATGTCGGGGGCCCACTCGGGGAAGATACTCCCTCTCACAAAAAAGAAGCATGTGGAGGTTGAGTATGCCACGTGTAATAAAATTGTGCCCACTATTTTCCACGTGGCAGACCTTGGAAGGCCAGCTGAGATCGCGGAGTACAACCGCCTCTTATCGCTAAAATCCCCAAAATGATATCTCTCTCACAAGAATTTTCATTTCGCTCTCTCTCTCTCAACCCTCTCTCTCCCTCTCTCTCTCTCTCTCTCTCTCTCTCTCTCTCTCTCTCTCAGCTTCACAGTTCAAACGCGATGACCGTCGTAGCAACGGCTGCAGCTCTCTCGTTGCCGATCTATATTTCTAAATCTCCGAAGCTCAATTTTAGGAAGGTGCGTGGTTCTTATCTTTGAACGTCCCTCAATTTGTTTTTTATATCTGGTAGTCGATTGAGAGTCCATTTGGTCATTTCGACGTACATTTTTCTGCTAATTGGTTGTCATGGAGCTTAGTTTTCGTAGTGCTTTTGATTACCAAACTTGGCTGCTTCCTCTGTTCATACTTGTGAGTTTCTTTAGTTGCTGTAGGAGGAGCTTCTAAGCGAGTAATGAGATGGATTAAACGATTTGATCGCTTTCTATAACTAACCATAGGGCAAAATATGTGGATTAACAGATGTTTGATGCATTGTTGTGTTAAAACTGTGATAAACGATTGGCCCTGAGGTTCTAAATTTTCGTTCCACTTTGAATGTTATGGTTTGATATTGTGGAGTGTTGGATTTCAGAGTGCGAAAGGAGGATTTAGAGTGTTTGCTGTGTTTGGAGAGGAAGGAGCTATAGAGAGGAAGAGTGGTTGGGAAACGCTATTTGACGTGGAAGATCCAAGGACAAAGGTTCCTCAATGTAAAGGGAAGTTCTTAGATGTTAATCAAGCTCTGGAAGTGGCTAGATATGACATTCAATACTGTGATTGGCGAGCTCGGCAAGATGTTCTTACGATCATGCTTCTCCATGAAAAGGTTCCTCCAATCTCATTCTTCTACTTCATTTTCTTGTTCATGCAGTTGGTTGATCTTCCATAAAATTACCTTTAGGTTGATCTTTCTTTTTGAAACATGTTTTGTTCTGAATGTTTGTGGCTTAAATATTGCTTTAGGTTGTGGAAGTTCTAAATCCTCTAGCTCGTGACTATAAATCTATTGGAACAATGAAGAAGGAGCTTGCTGGATTACAGGACGAATTGGCAGAAGCTCACAGACAGGTATGTAACGTTTCTTGTCAATTCTTATCCTATTTCTACCATTATCATGTTTTGACCACTGATGAACCAACATGAACAGGTTCATATATCTGAAGCACGGGTTGCCACTGCGTTAGATAAACTAGCTTACATGGAAGAATTGGTGCATGATAGGCTGTTACAAGACAGAAACACAGCGGAATTGGATACCCCATCTACCTCGCCTGGTACTTCGACACAATCTCATGATTCTATAAATAGAAGATCGCCAAAGAAAAGCTTGAACGTATCAGGACCGACCCAACCGTATCATCCCCGCTTGAAGAACTTCTGGTATCCTGTTGCTTTCTCCAGTGATCTGAAAGATGACACAATGGTAGGATAATCCTACATATCAGTTCATTCAATACCTTTTGAATTCAACTGTACTTTGAGAATCCTCTTACTAATTCATCATCTATTTCAGGTCCCATTTGATTGTTTTGAAGAACCATGGGTTCTTTTCCGTGGAAAGGATGGCAATCCTGGATGCATACGAAACACTTGTGCACATAGGGCATGCCCTCTTCACCTCGGTTCTGTCAACAATGGTCGAGTCCAGTGTCCTTACCATGGTTAGTCTTACTAAAAGGAATATACTCAGGAAACTCAAAAGCCTGGCTTAATAAAAACAGAAATCTCATTAGTTTAAATATCAGGTTGGGAATACTCAACAGACGGAAAATGTGAGAAAATGCCATCAACGCGACTACAAAATGTGAAAATAAAGTCTTTGCCATGTTTCGAAAAAGAAGGAATGATCTGGGTTTGGCCTGGTAATGATCCTCCAGCAGCCAATCTTCCTTCTCTACAACCTCCTCCTGGTTTTCAAATCCATGCTGAGGTAATTTTCATAGCGGTTGAGTTGTAAATGATGAATGTGCATGAAGTCTTCTTCAGCTAAACTGTATGTGCATATGGCAGCTCGTCATTGAAATCCCAGTGGAGCATGGATTACTGCTAGATAACCTTCTGGATCTTGCTCATGCACCCTTTACTCATACTTCCACTTTTGCAAAAGGATGGAGCGTACCCAGGTACAATTTGGTCAATATCATAACTATGGAACTCAAGTTATGAGTTAAAAAAAAGTCTTAAAAACTGATCTTTAATCTCTACTCTATCCAACTCGCAGCTTGGTGAAATTTTTAACCCCTGCATCTGGGCTCCAAGGATACTGGGACCCTTACCCAATCGACATGGAGTTTGGACCACCTTGTATGGTGCTATCTACTATAGGGATCTCCAAGCCAGGAAAGCTAGAAGGTCAAAGTACCAGAGAATGCTCAACACATCTTCATCAACTCCATGTGTGCTTGCCTTCAACAAGACAGAAGACAAGACTCCTGTACAGAATGTCACTGGATTTTGCTCCTGTGTTGAAGAATATTCCCTTCATGCACTATCTCTGGAGACATTTTGCAGAACAGGTAAAATTCTCATCTCAACAGACCCAGAACAGTTTTATTGCTATTCATGATCGTATTCTAAAAGAGGGATTCTTTCTTTTTGCTGTTCATGCAGGTGTTGAATGAGGACTTGAGGCTCGTTATTGGTCAGCAAGAAAGAATGCTGAACGGAGCAAATATTTGGAACATGCCAGTTTCTTACGATAAGCTTGGCGTAAGATATAGGGTCTGGAGAAATGCAGTAGAGGAAGGAGCAAAACAATTACCCTTCAGCAAATCAAATTGAACAGTATTCAAACTTAGTTAACTTCAACACTTCTTAGAACCCCATAAACACAAATCCCCATCTTTTTCAAAGCTTAAAATTGCTGGCTGAGACAATGCCAACCTACCCTCCATCCCTCCATCCCTCCCTCCCTTCGGCTTCCACTTTTGAAAACAACGCTCTCAATTGGACTCTGCAGAAGCTGTAAGAAGAAAATCATATGAAAGCAGAGGAGAATCCCCACGTAATTTAGAGATTGCTATATCAATTTGATTGGCTTGGCTTTTAAGTGCTTCTGCTTTGCTTTCGGTTTGGTTCTCCCGAGCCCCCCACCCCCAAGGGTCATTGTTTTAGGCTTGTAAAAGTATACGAGTATGCTTTGTTCTGTGCATCTTCAACACGAAGAAATTGTACGGTTGATAATAAAGGTTTTCGTTCTCAATCTTCGATCTTCATATTGATTCCAGCAATTTCTCATTCAGAAGTAGCAGTTTTCAAGAACAAATTACAGAATCAGACACCATTTTGATTACTAACAGACTAGGCTATATATATTTCAAATTATTTGAAGCAGAAGTAAACAAGAAGCAGCTGAAATTTACAAGGAAGAACCACAGAAAGGGCAGAAACTGAAATTGGGCTCCACTACTTTGTTACATGAACGGCAACGAAGGGTCCTTGAAGGAGCGGCTGGTGGCGTCGATTGATCGGAAATTGGCGGCGGAGAGAACGACGGAGGAAAAAAGAGGTTACAGTTGTTGCAGTGCATCAGTGGCTCTTTTCCCGGCCACCGCCACACCGGAACAAAGAAGAGCTTCAGAACTTTCTCGTAGTTAACGAGATCGGCCGGCGAGTTGCAGTTTATGCACCGGCCGGCGCTGGATTTGAGGAGCTGGCGAACTTGTTGCTCTAAACCCCCGACGAAGAAGAAGAACATTTTGTTTTTCTTACAGCGATTTTTGAGAGACAATGGGTTTATTTATTGAGAGGGAAGGTGCGGTTTCATCGGTTACAGGAGAGTCCGGAGGTTTCGGAGGGGTTCCATTCCATCAAACTGGTGCAGCCGGTCGCCCGTTTTAATCCGTTCTTTTACTGTGCACTTTCAAACCTAAAAAATTTAATCCTAAGTCTTAAAAAATGGTCAAATAAGATACGTTTACTTGTGCAGCCGGTCACCCGTTTTAACCCCTTCTTTTACTCAGCACTTGCTTCCCTAAAAAATTTAATCCTAATTTAAAAAAAATGGTCAAATAAAAGAAACTCTAACTTCCTTCACATCTTTTTGAAGTAGTACTTCAAAATAAGTATTTTATAAGTGTCGCACTTATGATATTTTCTACTTTGAGCCTAAGTTTTTGGTTTGAGTCGATCTAAAAAGTCTCATGATCATTCATTAAATTAGTCGATAGTAGGACTTTCTTTTAGTAGTCATAATACTTCAAAATTTTCCTCTAATAAGAATTGTTCAAAGATTTCTTCTAATAAGAATTTTTAAAAGGACTATAAGAACTAATGATAACAACTACAACTATGAGAAATATAACTAAAAAACGATCTTAAATGTCAAGCAATCTTTGATCTTAAAATCACTTAAACATTGTCGATCCATAAGTAGACGAAAGAAGCCACCAAAAGTTACAACAACAATATTAAGCTGAAGGTTCTCTTAAAAGAGAATAAAAGGGTTTACTTTTGATCTTAGAATCGCGTAATATTGTCGATCCATAAGTAGATGAAAGAAGCCACCAAAAGTTGCAACAACAATATCAAGCTGAAGGTTCTCTTAAAAGAGAATAAAAGGGTTTGGTGATGAAACCTTTTCGATTCTAATTTCCTATTAAAAAATTAAAATAGGAAAATATTTTATAATAGTTGTTTTAATCTCAAAATTTTTACAAAATCTGCCAAGTTTAAAATAACTTTTAAACAAAAATGAAATCCTGTTAAATTGGACAAGTTATTAGAAGGTGTATTCTTTACCTTAGTGGAGGAAGATGATCTGATAAATGACATTGAAAAGAAGCTACAGAACACACTAGTCTGCAAAATCTTGACATCAAATATGGTGAATGTGGAGGCCTTTCGATCTATAATGGCAAAGATTTGGAATTTCGAGCAAAATGTAAGGATTGAAAACGTCGGATGGAACATTTACTTGTGCATATTCAGAACTCCCAATGATAAGCAAAGAGTTCTTGAAAATGGCCCCTGGTTCTTTGACAAAAGGCGGGTAGTTTTCGAACAGCAACTAAGAGGAACCTGTAAGTTCACGTACCAATACAATTCTCAAATGTCAAATAAAGAAGTTGTGAGTCTCGAAGGTAGACAAAGGGTATACTGTATTATTAAGGGAAGAGACTATTCAAGAGCTCTGTAGGCCTCTTAGGATTGTTAAGGAGTCTCACATTTAAGAATGATCATGAATATATAAGTACGAGGCCTTTTGAGAAGGCCCACGTTTCCTAACATGTTTCGTTCCCCCATGAAGTAACTGGGATTTGCTCTGGTTGAACAGAAGCCAAAAATCTACTTCAAATATTTGATCAACTACCTTGGCTATATATCAGAGTAATGGAAATAAAGACTTGTTCTTAATATTTTGTGAAGACACAAATGATATGAACTCACCTCGGGGCTAGCAATGTATTGGCTTAGCCATTTCTGCTGGAGTGCGCAAAGAGACATATTCCACCTTCCTGCTCTCTATGTTTCTCTCTTCCAGCCACTATCTGGCTATCTGCAAATTTCCCTTGGCCAAAGCTTGTACAAAATTAAAGATATTGACCCCCTTTTGCCCCATAAAGATGGTTGCCATTCTGGTTGGATTTGCCCCATCAAAATCTTCTCTGACGAGCTTTTATTCAAGACACAGATGAAGATATAGAGTGGCGACCCCACGGTTTCATCAGCATCCTAATATCATAGTCAACCTTCATAATGAACTTCTATGTCACATCCTGCTATCTGTTAGATTCTCAGTGCTTCATGATCAATGGAGTCTCAAGAACCAGTCCACCTTATTTTCTTGCTCCTCTACATCAGCTAAGTTGAAAATAAACAAAAACTAGTCTGGTTCTTCGTCTTCAGTCAATTCATGTCTTCCTAGTACTCAACAAGCGATAATTATACACTGTATGGTTAGCTTCCTGCAATAAATTGAATAACAAGTTCAATAAGAATTCCAAAATATTTTAACAAATTTTGTTGTTACAACTTCAACGATAGACCAGACAATGGAACCGGGACAGGTAATAAGCAAAAAGTTCAGTAGACCATAGACAGGGAACTATCAGATAGGAGTAGAACAAGTGAGATGTATCATGTGTAGTAGCCATAGCGCTAATGAATTTCAAACTTAAATTTAATTTCTGCTAATAATTGAAGATGCAATCTGTGTAGTATTCACGTGCATCTCATCTACCATTACGATTCTGGTAGATAACAGGTCGTTACCAGCTAGGGTTCAAGAATTTTGCTCAATTAGAAAAAAATGCAGAATCAAATTCAATTCTCAATCAAAATTTGGCCATGCCTTCCCGTGGTAAATTCAATTCCATCATGTACGATCATTGATACCTGCAAATTCTATCCAATCAGCTCAATGGCATTGCGTAGCGGCACAACGGGCACAAATGACTCGTCTCTAGCCATTTGACAATACACTCTCTGTGGTAAAAATGATCGCACGGCAATTGCGTAACTTCCATTCCGCTCATCAATTCATCCAAACATATTCTGCATTCTCCGATCAACAGCTCTCCACGGACATCAATCTCCACGTTCTTTAAACCTTCGATAGCCGACGCACACGCCGGCGACGCTTTAAACGCTTGCTCTGATGATTCCCGCAAAACTCGCCCAATTTCCTCGCGTTCATTGTACAGCGAAACGACTAAAACAGAAACCGCCAACGGAAATATCCGACGGCCAGCATTAAGAGGATTGCATACGACATCAGCCGCAACGGACAGAACCTCCGGTACGGCCGCGTCCAAGAAGTCTTGCGCGACGCCAGTGCCGGAGAAAACAGCAATCAAGATACTGGAGCCACTAGCGAGAAAGACATCGCAAGGTATCAAGGACGAAGATAGGGAGGAATTTAGGAGAGTGTGAAATTCTTGAGAGTGATTTGACTGAAGAACATGGCGAAAGCGAAGGTGAAAAAGGAAACAGTCACAGGGAAGCAAGTGAGAATTGGAAATGGCAAAATTAATATCATCTTCACCTTCTTCAGGTTGCCATATCTGGTATTCGTAGAGAGTATCCATGGCCATGGCAGATCAAGTACGGTCCAGTAGCGTGAAAACCAGAGAGCGGAATGCAGAAGACGAATAACAGAAAAAAATTATATGAAGAGAAGAGAAGAGAAGAGAAGAGAAGAGAAGAGAGTGGGAGTTGGGTTATTTAGTTTCGGATACAAAGTGAATTTATAAATATGGAAAAAGGAGGCTATTGGGATTGGGAAAACAAACAACGCAGCGTTTCAATGGGTCACAAACTCTAGTTTTTATTCATATTATTACTTTACTAAATTACAAATATACCCCTTCCGGAAATTTGTATATTTTTCTATCAATTTTAAAAAATATGTAATATATTTTTAAATTTTTAAATTTATAATTACCAATTTAAATTTTATATCTTTATCTGATAGTTTCTTTTTACGAATCTAGTGAATTTTAAAACATAAAAAAATTTTGAAATTAAATTTATAATTTTAAAAATAATAAAGGAATATTATTATTATTATTATTATAAATTACAAATATAGACTTTTTGATAATAATTTCTATTTTTATCTAATATATTTTTGAAATTTTAATTTTATGTCGTGTCTATCAATTTTTATAAATTTAAAATTTCTAGAAAATAATTAGATAGTGTATGTAATTTGAATTTTATAATTTCAAGACTAAATTTATAATTTTAAAGGTTTGGAGCTAAATATACCTCATTTTAAAATTTTGGATTTATTTGTAAATTAATTTTACCATCTATTGTTTTCTTATTGGATAATAAATTTTATATATATATATATATATATATATATTTTCTTTTAATTTCAACATCTCCAAGGCATCAAAGCTATAGGATCCCTCAGACCTTTGACCAATGAGGTAATGACACGTGTATTTTGAACATCAACTTACAAAAAGTAAGCTCCAAACCTAGGTAACATTTAAAAGCGCTATATAACTCAATCTATGAGAGACCTTTGGGTGGTCCCTATCAAAAAGTACTAGACAGACTAATAATAAGCGAGATAAAAATTAAAAAAATAAAAATAAAATAAAATAAAAATTTGTTGGCCATATATAGAGGAATATATACGAGTTAAGTTAAACTCGCACTTGCCGTAATTAATTAGAATAATTGATAAAATCTAATTTCATCCAATGAAATTTGAGTATAATAATTCATAAGTAGAAATTTATTTTAAAAAATACCACAAATTCAAACTAAGTAGTCGTTTTAGTATCTATAAGGTTTAAAAATCCGACACAAATATATGCACTCCAAAATACTCATTCGTGGAGCTGGGCCGAGTTTGTGACGAACCAAATGGGCCTTATCACTAAAGATTGAGCCTGAAATCAGCCCATTTCCAAGAGGGAAAATATCAACAAAAAAAAAGCTTGTAATTTTAAAAAGAAGGGGCATTCCGAAAATCGAACTCGGGACCTCTCGCACCCAAAGCGAGAATCATACCACTAGACCAAATTCCCTTCATGCTCTTTAATACTTTATAAAATTTTATAATATCGAAATATTTGAAGCTTGCATTATTCGGCCCATTTCTATTTTAGATTACGTTCGTTTTTTTAAATAACTAAAGCAATAAATTAAATAAAATCAGGTGAAAAAAAAATAGACATATTAACTAAATATTATGAGTTTTTTTTTTTTTTCCTGTGTAGATTTTTCTTCGTATGTTGATATTTTCATAATAAATTATAAAAAAAATTCAACAACAAAAAATAAATCGTT